TTCTGCCCATTTAGCAGGGGTCCTATTCCTCCCTGGGCCTTCCTTTTACTCCCTATATATCTAAGAAACAATTTCTTGTTGTCCTTTACTTGGGGTGCCATCCTCAGCTCCATGGTAGCTTTGGCCCGTCTAACTGCCTCCCTACAAGCACGAGCAGAGGAGGTATATTCGTCTTTGGTGATCTCTCCCTGTTTCCACTTTTTATGTGCTCCCCTTTTGGCCCTTAGGCTGCCCTGGATTTCTGTGGTCAGCCAGGGAAGCCTCCTGGCCCCTTTCCCTCTTTTGCCTCGCTCGGGGATCGTCTTGCTTTGTGCTCGAAGGATCGTTTCCTTAAGGCACAGCCACCCTTCTTGGGCTCCCATCACTTCAAAACTCCTACTCTGCAGTGCGTCCTTGGCTAATCGCCTGAGTTCATTGAGATCAGCTTTCCTAAAGTCTAGCACTTTCAATCCATCATTTCTAAAATCACCCTTAAGGTATTTGAAGATTGTTATCAAATCCCACCTCAGTCTTGTATTGTTCTGGCTAAATAACTTTAATTATTTCAGTTTTTCCTCATAAGTCTTGTCTCTTGGGCCCCTGATAATTTTTGTTACCCTGTGCTGGACTCTTTCTGAACTGTCCACACAGTTCTTGAAGTGGGGGCCCCAAAACCAGACCCAGCACTCCAGGTGGGGCTTCACCAGTGCTGAATAGAGCAGAAGAATCATTTCCCTTGATTTGCAAATAACACTCGTGTTGATACAACCCAGTATGCTGTTGGCTTTTGTTGCAAAAAAAAAAAAAAGAGGAAAAAAGTGCACTGTTGGCTCATATTCAGCTTATGGTCCACTATAACCCCTATGTTGTTCTTTGCAGTAGTACAGCGTAGCCAGTCCTTCCCCAGTCTATATTTATGCATGTAGTTATTCTGCCTCCAGTGCAGGACTTTGTACTTGTCCTTATTGGATCTCATTTAATTGATTATGGACCATTTCTCTAGTCATTCTGGAGCTTACCCGTAACCACTAGAACATCTGCAGTTCCACCCAACTTTGTGTAATCTGCAAATTTGCTAAGTGCGCACTTGATTCCCATTATCCAGTTCATTAATTGAAGATGTTGAACAATACTGGACATAGAAGAGACCCCTGGGGAACCCAATTTGATACCTCTTCCCAACTAGACATTGATCTTTAGAAGTAACCATTTTCAGGTATTAAAAATGCCTTGTAGTGCTTATTCTAAGATCTGGCCCCAAAAATGATGCAGCAGATCAGCATAAATCACTTTGTCTTTTTGTTTTCCCCTTGCACTCTTGTCTTCTCAATTAGACTGCTAGCTGCTCAGGGCGAGGACTTATGTTGTATGTTTGTACATTACTTAGCAATGAAGCAGTCATCTTAGTTGAGTCTTGTAATTGCTACCATAATACAAAAATAATAATGTGTTTGATCAAAGTATAAGTGAGGAAATTAAATTGCTGTCCAGTGGAGAAGTAAACTCAACCACAGTATACAGCTTGTATAATTGTATACTTTGTAGTTCTCAAACTCTGCATTCAGCTGTGTGTGAGGTGTCAGGAGTCAAATCCCATGGTTCTTAGTGCCACAGAAAGATTGTTTCCTGAAGAATTTTAGGAGAATGTGTCTGTCATCCTGGGCAAATCAGAGGAACTGTGGGAAGTCATTGGAGGCCTAACAGCACTTGAGTATTTAGCTTGTGTTGTAGATGGTCACCCCTGGTCACCATCTTGGAACCAGTGTCCCAATGTCTTGGGACCAATGTCCCAAGGCCAGCACCGGTGGGGCCCAAAGCGGGGCACAGGCTGGCAGGGGTCTGTGGAGCTGAGCTGGGCTGCACCAGCAAGAAGAGGGGGCAGCTGGCCCGGCTCCATAGAGCCCCTGCCAGCTGGGACCCTGCGCTCCTGCCACCCTGCTCTGGGCCCTGCTGGCACTGACCTCGAGGCACTGGTGCGGGCCCCGTGCCCACCAGCCCCGCAGTACAGGCGGGGGGCAGCGCACAGCCCTGACCCCCTGCTTGGTGGCAGGGAAGAAGCTGGTGCTGAGCACAGGGAGAAGCAGCCCCTTACCCACCCCATGGCCGGTGCTCCCTGCTGCAGGCGCTTGCAGCCCATGCGGGGCTGTCTGGAGCAGGCCCAGGGCGCCGGGGGCCGCTGCCCAGACAGCGAGCGGGAGGCCCCTCTTCCTTGAGCTTGGCACCAGCTTGTAACCCAGCCCCGCTGCCAGCCTGGCAGTGGGCCCGGGTTACAAGGTGGTGCTGAGCGAGGGAGGTGGGAGGGAAGCAGCCCATCCCCTGCCCCATTCCTGGTGCCCCACACTGCAGCTGCTCACAGCCCACCTGACCACACTATGACCACATTATGAAATTTACTCTTCTTAACGTTTTTATGCATTTTAGTCTTTTATATTGTGGAGACTGTACAAAAAAAGGATGTTTGCAGTGTTACTTCAGAATTTATTATTGATCTTGTGCTTGGGCATTTAAATGAACAATCTCTTTTAGGTTTTGTGTGTTGTAGTATAAAAATAGTTTGATAGACTGCATCCTTCTTCCACTAACTGTGGATATACTCTATAAATTCTAATAACATTTTTTAAAAGTTGGTTGTTTGTCCCGTTTAAAGTCTCCACCATTTCCCCACCTCTTTTTCCCCACCTTTAGGCCTACTCTACTGTGGGAACTCCAGATTATATTGCTCCAGAAGTATTTATGCAGACTGGATACAATAAACTATGTGACTGGTGGTCTTTGGGAGTGATTATGTATGAAATGCTTATAGGTAAGTTGTTACCAGCCCACAGAAGCATTCCTAGTTTGAAGGCCAGAAGGGACCATGACTTTATCTTTTGCATAACATTGGACTTAAAATATAACCCTTTTGTTCTCATTTTGAGTCCAGTTGTTTCTGTTCTGACAACAGCTTATGTTCCAGGAAGGCATTCACTCTTTAATTTAAAGACATGAAGAGAAGGAAAATCCACAAGTTTGATTGCATTGTAATCATTGAAAGAAATAATCCCAGTTAAAATATGAAATATTTTATTAACTAATATTTATTAGATGCCAAACTTTATTATTAACTCTAGTATTCGCTGTTGTAATATCAGAAGTACTGTAGTTTTCAAGAAGACTTTTTTGGGTGGTGATGCTTTGGAAACTTTTGAGGGTGGGAGATCAGAGAACTAGTGGTGTCAGCAAGGGCTCACTTCCTTTTCTTGGTGAAAGGAAAAGCTCATTCAGCTTTTTCCCCCCACGGATACAGGGTATCCACCTTTCTGCTCAGAAACACCACAGGAAACTTATCGGAAAGTTATGAACTGGAAAGAAACTTTGGTATTTCCTCCAGAGGTGCCTATTTCCGAGAAAGCTAAAGATTTAATTCTAAGGTTAGTAACAACAACTTTCTGGGAGTTCCACACTGTTAATATTGTCCTTCCATTATCTACAATTTCCAGTCTGGGTAGAACTTGGTAGTGCAGCAGGAAAGTTGCGTGGCTCACTTTCTTTTTCTCCTATAACTTAACTGGGTTAATTTTGTCAAGGCCCCCATTCCTTGAGGGGGAAAAGTTCAGCTCTCAGGGCCAAAATCTCCTCTCACTAATGTCAGTTCCTGATACAGGCAGTGGGAGCAAGTTAGTCCCTGAAAGATCCCTGAACAAACTCACTATATGCATCAAAGGCCTGTTACTGCTGTTCTGAGGCTCAGGGAACTGCTGTGTCAGCATTGCAGGGTTGGGCTTGAAAGAATCCTAGAGAGAAGGACAGAGGAGGAATAAAGGGAGGATTATGAACATGATAGAAAAGAACAGTGAGTGAATGGGTTTTACTGTTCAGTGTTGGGTCTCATAAGCAGGGATCCTGGTTATCCCTGATTAAAAAAAAATAAATAAATTGCAAATTCTCTGATAAAAACCCCCCAACTCCCTAAATGAAATGCTACTATATATCTAATATCTTGGTATCAGTTGAACACGTTTTCTTGATATATTTACAATTTTAAAGCAGTTAGGAAGCCTACCAGTGCCTCAATCACTATAATAAAATAAATGCTAAATTCCTATACATTTTGGTATTTGATTTTGTGTTTTTTATCATGGAAAATTAGAGCTCCCCCTCCCTCGTTTGCTCACTAGGACACAGCTCCAGGTCCCTCACTCCCTTCCCACAGCTTCCCCCCCCACCCCATCCTACTAGTGCCCCTTGCCCCCCACCCAGAGCCCCCTGCCGGAGGGGGCCCCCAGCTGCCAAGGCTACGATGCTTGGTTCCTACTAGAGGTGTGTGAAGCTTCAGTTGTTGATTCGATTTGGAGAAGATTCAGCCCGATTCGGAGACCAAGTCACCGAATCTGAATCAAATTGGGAGACCAAAAAAACTGTCCAAATAGATTTAGAGTCTCTGAATCGATTCAGAGATTCAGGAAGCAATCTGTCAGGGGAACAGAAACTGAGAAGAGGGAGGGGGAGCAGGGGGGAAAGATGCATCTGTAGTTGGCCAGTGACTGATCTTTCCCTGAGTCCCCTTCCAATTACAGTGCTCTGGGGGAGGGACGTAGAAACAGCACATAAGCTTCTGTCTCTAGCCTTTCTCTCCCTTTTTGTGAGCTGTTTCTGTCTGAGTACTGGGAAGTCCCCCTGTTACAGGCTACCATCCCTGCTGTTTTCATCCTGCTGTGCTTTAGCACGCACATGCACACGCATGTTGTGAGTTTTGTTTTCAGAAACTTGAGGTGCAGTTTCCCAGAAACCCTTGCACCTATCTCCTTGAAACCTGGCAGGCTTCTTGGCCTCAGCAGGGGCTAGCATGCCTGCAGTTTTTGTCGTGCCTCACCTTAACACACACACACACACAGTCGCACGTCATGAATTTTGCTTGTCAGCATCTTGTGGTGCAGTTTCCTAGAAACCCCTGCAACTATCTTCTTGAAACTTGGCAGGCCTCATGCCCTCAGAGGGGGCTACCATCCCTGCTGTTTTCATCCAAATCTGCCAAAAAATGACAGTTATAGGTATTTCAGTGATTCCCCATTATAGTCTATGGCCCTATCTCCGAATCAGCGCTGAACCTTCGGAGCAGATTCGGCCAAATCAATTTGGGAGAGCGATCCGAATCTCTGAATCGAATTGCTGTCCTCCGAATCAGCCGAACCTGAATTGAATACTTCCCTATTTATGCAGGCCTAGTTTCTACCTGTGGTACTGCTGGCTGTCACTGTGGGCACAAGCTATTGTGTTGAACTTTTTTCTGTAGTGCTACTGAGGCTTCAGCTGCAGTTGTTACCCCGTCCCTTGGCTGCTCTTATGGGTTTCAGCATTACGGATCTTGCCCAGGCACTTGGCTGCAGTTGTAGGAAGAAACTGCAGTGTTGCTGGGAATAATTCTTATTTTTCTTTGTGGACTTTTTGTTTTTAATATATTCAGAGGTAGAAGGGTGTGAAATTTATATCCTAATTAACAGGGATCTGGGTTTTCTGTTTGCTGGAGCAAAAAGCACAGATTTTCTCCTTTAAAAGAGCAAAGCATGGGAAATAGGGTTTCCCCTTGCAGGCTGGCAGAGTTTCAGCCTGCAAGGGGCTGTTTGGGCCTGGGTGGAACCGGCACAGGCATGGGGTGTTACGTCCGTTACTCCCCCCAGTCCATTACTCCTTACACTGCTGGCGGTGCAGCTGGCATGGGGCTCCCCCCCGACACATCGTCTATAGTGTTACCTATGGTGAGGCACCCTGCCTGTTCCCGCACCCCCTTTCCCATGCACTAGGGAGCTGGGGCTTAGGGGAAGGAGGCTGTATGTTGGAAGTGAGGGGCACCAGAAGGACCAAGGGGCTGGATGTCGGGAGTGAGGCACACCAGGAGGACTGGGTGGGGGGTTGTGGTTTGGGAGTGAGGGGCAATGGAATAGCAGGGCTGTGCAGGACCACAAAGCAATGGGAGGACAGCCACAGCTGGACCTGCATCCTAGTGAGCGAAGGGGGCAGGGGGAACTTTGATTTTTGTCTGATAAAACCAAAATCAAACCCCCAAATGTAGGTATTTAGAATTTACTTTATTAAAATGTTTGAGGCACTGATAGCCTTCCAAGTTGCTTTAAAAACACAGATTTTGGATTTTTATCATGGAATTTTGGATTTTTAAATGGAAAAAACCAGGATCCCTGCTAATTTAATAGGATATAAGGCCCATTCAGCTGCAAGTGAAATTTATGCCAGCTTGTGGAAGTATTAATTGAAGAGAGTTTATAATCTGATAGACTTGCCATGTTACTGAGAGACCTGTCAGAACTTGCTTCAGGCTGGCAAAGAGGAAATCTTGTTTTTGTGGATAGATATGATTCGGGAAGGAAAATATTTTCTGAATTAGGGTGCTTGATCATTTATGTATGTTTAACAAAGGTGGAATATTGACAGAAGTGCTCCGAATCTTGAAGCGCTCCAAAGTGTATGATGCAAACTGGACTGGGGCTAGAGAGCAGGATTCCCTGTATAACTCTTGACCTCTGATTTCTAGAAGTTCCTGATGACTGCCAAGTACACAGGAGAGCACTTCCACTCCTCACTGTGTGAGGGTGGGAGCAAAAAAACCCCTGGGGGAGGCTGGAGGACTGCTGGAGCATATGGATATTTCAGGAAATGTTTTGAAGATGGTCCTGTTTTCAGGGGTCACTTTTTTTTTTTTTTTTTTTTTTTTTTTTTTTTTTTTTAAGTACTTGGGCTATTTTTGAAGCACTTCAGGTGTGCACATCTTTCTGCTTGCTGTTTGGAGTGCTTCAGAGGCACTTGAAGTACTTCAGTAAGTGTGTCTGCCTATGGCCCTGGTTACACACATTGATTCTTATAGCTGAACAGCTCTGTATTTGAGCAGCTTGCTCCTATAACTTTTTGCTGGAATTAAAAAATAGCAGATAAATTGCTTTTTTATAAAGAGAACAATTTCTGCTGAAAACAACTTTCAGAGGCTAACATGTAATACGTTAATAAGAAATGCTTCAGGCAGCAGATGGCTCAGTGGCTTGATTCTTGCAGCAGATTGACAGTAGGTTGCCAGGTGCATTAAACTTCCATTAAGTCAATGCTGCTCGGCACCTATCAGGCTCACACACTCTGGAGGTGTTATATCTCCATTAGGCATGTATAACAGGGCAGATGCACTTTGTTCTTGAATATCCCACTGAGTTTGTTCACAGGTCCAGAAAGCAGAGTTGCAACACTTACTTGTCTGGTGGAATGCCTCTCTGTCTAGAGGGGAAGGGAAGAAAGCTTTGTAGGGGCTGATTTGAAAGAGGGAGCCCCTAACAGATGGGTGCTTTAAAATCAAGAATCCTCTATGGTCTAGCACATTTGAAGAAACTTTAAATTATTGCAGGTGAAAGGTCATTGTTATAAAGCATTTTTCCAAGATCATATCATACAGTTCTTGTGGACTGGAAAAGTTTGAATTTGGGGGTGGAGGGGTATGGAGAAAGAGCAGCAACAGTTTTATTAAACAATAAAAATATTCCTATTGTGACATTCTTTGTTTTATCATAGAACTGTGATAACATTCAGCTTCTGGTTTTGTTTTTGCTTTGTTTGTTTGCTTTTGCTGGATACTATTAGAAAACTTCATATTGAGTAATTCAGAGATGAAGTTGTTTTTAAGTCTTCCTGAGATTCCTGATTACAAGATTGTAGTGTGGTTTGTTTTGCATTGCTTCTTTCTACCTTAGGTGTAACAGTCTTCCCTTACCCCTCCCTTCAGATTTTGCACTGACTCAGAAAATAGAGTTGGCAGCAATGGAGTAGAAGAAATAAAAAGTCACCCATTTTTTGAAGGAGTTGACTGGGGCCATATCAGGTATATATACATCCTGTGTATGTTAGATGGAATTACTTGGTATCATAATTTCAGATGCCAGGAATGCAGGGATATTTTTCTTTCTAATTCAGTTTTAATTTTGAAACGTAACTATTTAAAGAAAACCCAGTTAATGCAAACCTTGCTCTTGATGTAAAAACTGACTTTACTGAGCAGTTTTTAATGCATTGTTTCCCAACCCAGAACAGCCCAATGTAACATAAAACAAGAAGCAGTTGTAGTGAGAAAAGCTACATGATTCCTGCTTTGCACTCGCCCACCCTCGGCAAATTTGCTCCACTCCATTATAGAGGGTTCTGCAGCTCTCCCTGTAGTTGCCTGCCATAAAACAGACTGTATAAGTATCTCTGCCTGCTTGTGGCCCAGCTCTAAAAATGAAACAGGAGTTGCCCCCCCAGGCAATATGTACCCTTATGGTGAGTGAGGAACCTCAAGGGGGAAAATTAAAAGAAGCTCATAAAAACAAAAGACAAAATTATGTATAGAAAATACAGGGAAATGGAAAAGAAAAGGATAGAAGGCAACATCTATAAGGGAAAGACAACAATAATCCCTTTAAAACCAATATTGATGGTGTCCAGTAGCATGATCAGTAAGAGTTGCTGCTGCTGCTCTCCTTTAGATATCTGGGTGATCCTGCTCTAGAAATATTGTATTCACAATATGGAATTGTTGAAGCTTATATTTATGCAGTGGGCCTGAGGTTGATCCAATACAAGTCTGCAGTTCTTACTCTGATACAGAGAGCCTTGCCTTTTCAGCATGGTGGGAAAAAGTGAGCAATGAGAGCAGTAACATATTTATCAATGCTGGATTTAACAGAGCAGCAAGGGGGGTTCTTCATCTAGTGTCATGGCTGGGTTCCTAGAAGAGTAGTTATTATAAAAGTGTGGGCAAAGGTATGAGAAACGGGAAGCTTTTATCCCTTTCTCTTTCCTACACTTGCAATGCTTGAGTTTTTTAAATGTTTTTGATAATTTTAGAAGAAGCCACTTAGGAAGCTGTCTTGCTTCCCCTCCACCCCCCCCATCTCCCCTTTTAAAAGGACTTGCTGATACCATGCTGCTTTGCTAATTTAACAGTCTGAATTAATCAGAATTTATAGAGCTACATGTTTAGTAGCCTGAGTATAGGAAGAACCTTGACTAGGCAGGTTGGGTGTGAAATTAATGCATGACAGTGGATCTTAGTAGAATGAGGATTGTGCAGTCAACTTCTGAAGGACACCTTAGTTAACACTTGATCTGAGCCTTCAAGAGGTATTACATTTAAGCACAGTTCTGGCGAACGTACAGGGACTCTGTCTCACCTTTCAGGATTTCAAAACACAAAGTGAAGCATACAGGTGTTCAGTTTAAAACTATGATGATTTCCACAACTCATATTTAAGTTATTATATTTTATACCAGCAGAGGTTTTCCTCTGTGTAGCATTTATCAAGGACCATGTTATCATTCTAGTGTGTACAGAAAAATATTTAAATATTGAAGTTAAACATAGCTTTGTTCATGTTC